AGCTTAGTATCATCTGCAAATTTTGCCACCTCACTGTTTACCCCTTTCTCTAGATTTATAAAGAAGTTGAATAGGATAGATCCCATGACAGACCTTGGACACCTCTCTCCATTCTGAAAACTTGCCACTTATTAGACAATCTTTCTATTAAGTAATCGCCATTCTTGTCTGTCTTTCATGGGATTTTTAACTTGCCCTTCCTGCTCATGTATCGGCTGCATCCGTCAGCTCTTGCAGCAGCTCCTGCAGGCATGCACATGTGTGCTCCACCATCTGGCTCCCCTGACGAGGCAGGCCGCCCCTACAAGATTCGACTCCTGGCACCTCCTCCGCAGCAGGCCCTGCAGCTTCTGAAGGCAGCCCTATCTGCCTCCGTGCCAGCAGCTCAAGGTCCCAGCCCCCCCAGCAGGCCGCTGAGAAGGCAGGCAGCCCCTGCGAGCTCCAATCCTAAGCCGCATGTGTGTGTGATCACTGAGGCACACTACATTTAAGACCAAAAAGACAATGTAGGAGATGGCTAACAGATAGCAAGTACCTTAATTCATACTTAACCATCCAATCTTTCTCCTACGTTGCTAGCTGCAAACTTTATTTTTAGTCTTTTGCTGCGCTTTTAGAGTTTTTTTAACATTTTTTATGCATTTTTTTCTTACATTTGCTTCCTGTCTTTTAACCAGTTATCGATCCATGAAAGTGCCTTCATTCTTATCCTATGACAACTTACTTAAGAGCCTTTGGTGAGGAACCTTGTCAAAGACTTTCTGGAACTCTAAGTACATTATATTCGCTGGATCCCCCTTGTCCACATGTTTGTTGATCCTCTCCAAGAATTCTAGTAGACTAGTAAGGCATGACCTCACATTACATAAATCATGTTGACTTTCCCTATTTGATTAGTCACTAGGGTGCCTCTGTCTTTGAAGTGTAGCAACACTTCAGGCTGTTGCTACACTTCAATGGGAAAGTGCTGTGTGGAGCCAGGGGTCAGTTGGGAACTCCCCCGCTGATCCTGGTCTTGCAGTGCTGCCTCTTTGAAATGCTCCATGCAGCCTGACGCTCGGCTCGTCATGGCATTTTAAAGCGGCAGTACTGCATGGAGCCTGGGGTCAACTGGGGAGTCCCCAGCTGATCCTGGGCTCCACATGATGCTGCCACTTTGAAGTGCCGTGTGCAGCCTGGGGATACCCAGCTGACTCGGGTGCATTTGGCTTTTCAAAGTGTGGAGCCTGGGCTTTGGCCCCAGACTTCAAGGGGCACTGCTGCTTTGAAGTACCCTCTTTTTCCCCCCTCTCCCTTGCTGCCTCTGTCTGATATAGACGCGGGGTGGGGGTGGAGGTTGCGGAGAGAGCGACTAGTTGACTATCTGATAAGCAAATCCTTACTGGATAATTGAGTAGTGGATAATTGACATCCCTAGTGTAGGACTGGAAGCATTTCAGAAAATACTACCATAGAGGGTCTGGATTTCAGTCTCTTTCCTAGAAGCCTAAATTTGGCCTCCAGAACTTCTCTCCTACTCTTCCCTATGTCATTGGTACCTACATGTACAACAACCACTGGCTCCTCCCTAGCACTACTCAAGTTTATCTAGATATCTCAAGAGAGCTGCAACCTTGGCATCAAGCAAAGTCACCATACAGTTTTCCTGGTCATCCCAAACCCAGCTATTTTAAGTTTCTAATGATTGAATCCCTCATTACTAATGCCTGCCTTTTCCTAACTACTGGAGTACCCTCCGCCGGAGAAGCGAGAGGATATGATAAAGTCATTGGAAGGAGGGTCCCAACTATGGGATGGTTTCTTTCTGCTCGTGTTGAATGTTTTACTTCCCTGAGCCTTTCATTCTCCTTAACAGCACAGGGGCTGTCTGACTAGAGGTGGGACAGACATACAGTGTTCCAGAAGACCTCATCTATGTACCTCTCTGCCTCCTTTAGCTACTCCTATTCGCCATCCTGGCCTCCAAAACCCGTATGTGTTCTGAGGGCCAGGAGCTCCTTGCATCGAGTGCACACCTGCGCAACCTGTCCATTGGGCAGGTAATTATGCATGCTATTTTGGGTGCAATGACAGGATAGCCCCCATTCTGCTGCTAGTCTTCTGCCTGCATTCTCCCTTTCAGACAATTTGATTATCAATAGGGTTTTTATTTAAATCAGGTAGTTTTGGTTTTTGTTTAGTTTAAAAGTTTTAAAGAATGCCAATTGTACCTAACTCCCTTCCAACACCCCCTCTAAATTCCCTCTCAAAACTTAGAGTTAGCTGCCCCTGTATGCAAAGCTACTGTTGGGGCTTTTGTTGCTTCAGGAGAGGAATTGTGCCTCTTGAAACACAGCTGGTCACCACCTCATTCTTAATTTATGTAGTACAATCCATTATATGCAAATGAAATACCTACTTTTTTTCCCTGCAAATTAGCTGGTCAGTTGTCTAAATGCTAGCATATTGCTTGCTGCTAATTACAAGCACAGAAACTTGGGCACAGGTGAGGCTTCTTTCAAACCTGTGGCCCCAAATACAGAGAAAAAATTGGATGCCAAGTTTGTAGCTGGCTTGTAACATACACATGCTTAGTAGTTACAACTATAGTCTTTTTTTGAAAAAAGCCCCATAGCTGAAATCTTATCTAGCCTTTCTTTTTCTTCTTACTGCAGTACCTGTACTGTCCATGTGATAGGACTTGGGGGCATAAATTGAAGCTCTTAAAAAGAGAACATTATAGAGTCATGAGAACATTTTAACTTGGAAAAATAACTAATATGTACCCTACATGCAGCTTGAATCAAAACGATGGAACCATTGAGAAACCTTGAAGTAAAACTAAGCATCTCTCTTCCTCTTCCTCTTCCTCTTCCTCTTCCTCTTCCTCTTCCTAGGAATTAGAGAGATTCCTAAAGTGTGTCCTTATTGTAAAATAGTCAGGGGAAAAATTGTGAGATGGGAGTTTGAATAATTCTTTGAACTGAGAATTAGTTCAGCATGTTGCATGGGATAAGTGTTTCTGTAGCACTTTTTTTTGAGGATGACTTCTTTCTATTGGAAAAGCACAATTTCATAGGGGGTCTTACATACGTTGGTGAATAGTCTTTGGTGTGGAGTTGCTTAATGAAAACTCCCTTTGCAGATGCATGAGCAAATGATAGATGATGCAAGTATTTACTTATATACATAGGGCCCTATTGTGCCTTAATAATTGAAGCCAAGAGAGAAAATTACCTTTGCAACCTCACCTTAACAGTGCCCCTACTTGAAAATTTTATTTGATGGCCAGTAAGACCTTCTCAAAATAATTATTTAGTTACTTAATGAAAACTCCCTTTGCAGATGCATGAGCAAATGATAGATGATGCAAGTATTTACTTATATACATAGGGCCCTATTGTGCCTTAATAATTGAAGCCAAGAGAGAAAATTACCTTTGCAACCTCACCTTAACAGTGCCCCTACTTGAAAATTTTATTTGATGGCCAGTAAGACCTTCTCAAAATAATTATTTAGTTAAAACTGATGCAACTTAAACAATTTAAAATACCCTACTGTGTGTGTGTGTGT